CCCTTTTTTTTTTTTCTTTTTCTTTTTTTTTGGTTTACCCCATCACCCTCTTGTCCCCGTATCTCAATTCCATTGAGGCTTTGATATCCCTGCACTGTCACTTTTCTTTTCTTTTCTTTTTTCTTTTTTTTAACAAAACCAGGGTTTGCTAGAGGCGCTGGTAACCCTTAACGTCTGCGTTCTTTTTTTTCATTTATCTTTTCTTTTTTTGTTTTTATCACATGGTGAGCGTGCCCCAGAAAGGATGTCCAGCCCTGCCCGGTGGTGAAGGGTTGAGCTTTTTTTGTTTTTGTTTATTGATGCCAATAAGATTACAAAATAACAAAAAAGTAAAAGTGACAAAAAAAGACGAAAGGAAAAAATCGTTGTTTAACTGCTAAAGGCCCAAAAAAGGGACGACGGTCTTTAGATATATCATTGTGAATCTGACTGGCCCCAGGCAATTCACAATTATTTTATGTCATTTATCGGAATTCAGACATGGGTCCGTATCTCAACAATCCACGGGTGTACCAACTGAGCTAAGCTTGTCGGTGGTGAAGGGTTCACCCATGCGGATGACTCCGATCTATTTTCGTCGCGACCCCACGTGCTGCACACTCCCCTTCCACCCGTCGCAATGTCCCACTCCAATCTATTTTCGCCGCGACCACACGTGCTGCACACTCCCCTCCCCCCTGTTGCAACGTCCCACTCCGATCTATTTTCGTCGGGACAAAATCACATCCCATCCTGAACAAGCGATGATGCGGAACACACATTGGGCCTCGCTGCACTACTCTCGAAATGTGCAAAACGAGAGTGAATCTTCCGCTAGAATATGGAAAGATGCACGCCATCATTTTTGTCTTTTGTGCATGTCGAGAGTAGTGCAGCGAGGGCCATTGTGCAAATCAACAAGACAGCATTGATCCCTCTGGCAGAAACCAGAGGAGGCTTTATTTTTTTTTTCTTTCTTTTTTTTTTTTTCTTTTTTTTTAATCTCTCTTTTATTAAGCAAAAGCATGAAAACGAGGCCGGGGACCTCACAATTCTACCCGGAGTTATCCCGGCAGCGTCAGCTGGTTTAGCTTAGGTGCTCGCAGAAATTCCCACTTCATACCACCACTACTACTACTCTACCACTCATAAACAATCCGGGCCCCCTGCCCAGATGCAAGCTATAAGCAGCCTTCTACCTACCCCAATTTTTTTTATTTTTTATTTTTTTGGAAAGCACGAAAGATTTATTGCATCAATATGAATAATAGAGGCCGGGGACCTCACAACTCAACCCGGAGTTATCCTGGCAGCCTCAGCCAGTTTAGCTTACGAGCACCGGTCGAGTAATATATCAACTGCTCAGAACTTCTCCAGATCAAAAAGGGACCAAAGATGTCTGAAAGCTAAAAGCAGGTCCAGAGACCCCACCTACAAAGCTTTCCAAAAAATAAACTTTGAAGCACAGGTAAAAAGCAGGGGAGCTGAAAAGCTAATCTTAAAGCACCGAAATGTCTGTGAAAGCAACTCAGCTCATCGACAGTAATACTGTCTTTTATATGAAAAAAAGGTAAACTATACTTTAACTGCGTGTGGGGAGCTGTCTAAATCAACACGAGAGCAGAAAAAATAAATGGTAATCTCCATCAAATAAAGTCACCCACACTCAGTCATCTTGGCTAAGCAGCCATGGAGCAAAAATTACTGAACCTTGTGGGCTAACTGTCGC